TCTTTTTTCTCTTTCGTACAGCCATGAGGGGATGAGCACTGGCGTAGGAGGAGATGGAGCTGGAGGAGGCGGCGGCGTACAGGGAAGCGGCGGCGGAAGAAACACGCCGCCCCATGGATCGCCCACCCCCATGGATAAAGCGACTCTAAAGGTCCATCTACCTAACGGTAAATTTCTACCCCGTCACTACTTCCAGCAAAGTGCCGCTCGAAATAATTAGGGAGGGAGCCGTTTCGGTAAAATTTATTGTATATCAGAAGGAAAGGAAACGGAGGGTTCTTTTCCCCGTAAAAGGAACACGAAATTGCTTCGAATAGCACTATGCCATCCATGTTTTCCTTTTCGTGATTGAAAGATCATTGGATCATTTCTCCTAGGTGGTTTCAACGTTGTTAAATTCGGTGACGCGATCGACGTGAGGGGTATCATCTCTTTGGTAACTAGTCGACTAGCAGTCGGGACCAGGCATTATAGAAACCTGTACGCCATGAGACTGCATCATCCTGGATCGGGGGAGAGCTATTGGCTACATCAAGACACAACCATGTATCAGGTACCTGTGACATCTGTCTCTTTTAAACGAGTATTTTTATTATTGTTGTTGTTGTTGTTACGAATAGTAGAATTGAGAAACGTTCGTTATCGCCAGGTTCAAGAAAAATATGAAAAGAAACATCCTCACTGCGAATGGAGGTACGAATTGAGGGTACGATATTTGCCGCAAAATCTGAACGACCTGTACGAAAAGGATAAAGTGACCTTCTTCTACTACTACGACCAGGTATATTTACCTGTTTAAAATCAATTTTACAAACAAATCGAGCAAGATTCAATTTACACTTTTATCCTTATAGGTCCGAAACGATTATCTCTGCGCGAATCACGCGGCTCTCGATCAAGACGTGGCGGTGCAGCTATGCTGCCTTGAGATTCGCTACTTCTTCAAAGACATGCCACAGATCGCCCTCGACAAGAAGAGCAATCTCGAGTACCTAGAAAGAGAGGTGGGTGAGGCACGTTGTTCCTACGAAAGTTGCTGGTTTCTTCGCGAGTTCCCCAGTAAGAACTTTCATTCGCGTTTCATTCGCAGGTCGGCCTGCACAAGTTCTTGCCGCGATCCGTGTTAAATGGAATGAAACCAAAGGCACTACGCAAGTTAATACAACAGCACTTCAAAAAGGTTGCCGCATTGTCTGAGCTGGAATGTATGTTCAAGTTCTTCGATCTTTTACGCGCCCATTACAGATTCGATCAAGAGAGATTTATATGCGCTTTGGGGGTAAGTTACTTTTGCTCTCTCTCTCTCTCTCTCTCTCTCT